CGCGCCTCGACCTCAGCACGGCCGCGTCAGCGACCGCGTCGTCGTCGCCCTCGTCGCGGCGCTCGAGCGCTACGGCAACGCGCTGACGGACCTGGATCTCCGCGGCGGCCTCGCCGAGGCCGACGGCGGCTGCGTCGGCGTCGCGGGCGCCGCGGCGCTCGCCGGGGGCTTCCCGAGGACGCTCGCGTCGCTCACGTCGCTGCGCCTCAGCGGGCACCAGCTCTGCGACGCCGGCGCGCGCGCGCTGGCCGCCGGGCTCAAGCGCGCGCCGTGCCTCGTCCGCCTCGAGTTGCGCTACTGCCGCCTCGGCGACGACGGCGTCGAGGCGATCGCGGCGGCCTCGTCGGCGGCGGCGCGGAAGGGCGATTCGACGCGACGATCGAGGGGCCTCGCGCCTCGTAGCCTTCGCAACACTCGTAGCCTTCGCGACCCGCTTCGCCCAGGTTGCGCTGCTCCCGCGGCGCGGGCCTCTGCCACCTCGACCTGTCGCACAACTACTTTTGCGAGCGCGGCTGGGACGCCGTCGCGGACGTCTTAGCCCGTTCCAAACACCTCCGGACGCTCAGGGTCGCGGACGTGCTCGGCGACCCGCCCAGGGGCTACCCGCCCCAGAAGGAGTGCCGGCCCGACGGCGCGCTGACCGTCGAGGACATCCGCGCGGCGTCGGCGGCGCTCGCCGCGGGCCTCCGGCGGAACGCGTCGCTCACGCACCTGAGCGCGCGCCGGCGCCGCGTCTTTTTTTCTCGTCGAGAGGCCGCGCGCGCGCAGGCCTCGGCCGGTCCTACGTCCGCGAGCGCGCCGTCGGCGGCGTCGGCCTGCCGGCGAGCCGCATCTTCGTCGGCGAGGACCTGGGCCTCGACCTCGTCGCGGCCGGGGCAGGAAAAGAGAGCGAAATTCTCAAAGGCTCCGATCTCGGTCGTTTTCCACTCGTTTCGGCTGATCTTTGGACGAGCGATGATCCCTTGGAACGGCCTCGAAGCGTGGATGCTTTTTACGGAACGCTCGCGCGCGAAACACTCACGTTGAAGCGACGTTTTTCCTGCCCAGGTCGCGGCGGCGCTCCGCGCGCACCCGGCGCTCGAGCGCCTCGACGCGTCCGTGGACCGGCGCGACTTCGAGAGCGTCGCCGCGCTCCAGGACCTCGCGCTCTTCCGCGCGTTCGCCGGCGTCGTAGGAGGTGTGTTTTTTTCCACGACGAGGACTTAGGCTGCGGCGAGGACTACGCGTTCCCGCCGCTGCGCTGCTCGTTCCCGCTGGCCATGCCCAAGCCGTCGGCCGCGTGCCGCGCGGCCGCGGAGGCCGTCGCCGACGACGCGCCCATGGCCCTCGACGGCGTCGACGAACGCTGCGTTTCCCGGGCGAAAATGGTGGTGCGTAGGCCCTCGACGTCGCGGCGCTGGTCAACGCGGCCCACGGCGCCCACTTCCACAAGGCGCCTTGGCTCAAGGCCGCGCGCCGCGCGGTCTACGGGCCCCTCGAGACGCTCGCCGAGTCCTCGCCGCGCGTCCGCGTCGGGTCGCGAGCGGCGTCCGCCATCGGCGCCGCGGCGTCGAGTTTCGCCGACTCGCTCGCGCGCGGCGACGAGCCGCGAAGAGCGGAGACGCGGGGCGTCGCTCTCACGAAAGAACGCAGGTCCTACGTCGGCTCGAGCGGCGGCGAGTCGATCGCGGCGGGCGGAGCCGACGAAGCGTGATTCGACTTCGCCGTCCGCGCTCCGAGGAACGCGTCGAGGCTCGTTCGGCCGCGAGCGGGAGGCCTCGAAGACCCGGCTCGTCCGGGCGGAGGA